AATTTGAAAAGCAACGGTAATGAAATGAAAAATGAAAAATGAAATGAAATGTTGTCTTTGTACCAATTTTATCTGGTAACTTACTGGTTTGATGCAATACAAACAAAGAAAGGAGCTAAAATTTGGCAAAATTAAACCAAATCAAATCTATTCCACAAGTCTAACAAACTGAAAAAAATGACAACTGGAAACTCGCATTCCATTATATCTTGAGCTAAGCTAAAGTAAACCCTCATCCCCCATGATATCTACTGATTCATCCCTTACTCTGCAGTACATATAATGGAAGAGTGTAATTCCTAGAACTCAACATTACCATCTGCCACCTAGAAGGGATTCGATGGTACAGGTAGTCTACTTGATATTCAGCTCAGTAATATAATTAGCCCTTCTGACCAACTGCAGCCCTCGATATTGATTGATACTTGCCCTGTCTCTGAAGTAGATTTGCATACGTGGAAAGTGTTGAATCCTGTACTTTGTCATTCCACTGAGGTTAAGTTTGAAGTGCTTCAACCCTCAAGACCTTTAATCTGCGCAACTATTTGAAGAGTTGGAGGATATTCTACGTTGTCATCATGGGAGGGGATGTGAGGGGGTTTCTGATGGCGTCCTTTTTGCCTTTTACTTCAACCTTGGGTCACTCTTCGCAAGTGGTAGTTTATCAACAATTCACAGCATATAATAGTGTGGAATAAATCATAGCTTTCCCATTTCCATTTATTTCAATACAGTGTAGGTGCACTTAAACATAGTTTCTGACATACAGTGACAGCTATTTTTAAAACAGAGCCTTGACATTCAATATGCTATCTTTGCCCTTCTCCTTGTCCCATCCTTGTCTTAAGGGTCGAGGACTCTCAGCATCTCTTAAGGCATCCAATGCGATTTCAGGGCAGCAAAACTGGAAATATTCTGAATAAGGCAATCTTTGTGATATTGACACATACTACTAAACAAAAGCACATTTGAATCAGTATTTGATAATTTGGACTTTTAAAACTGCAGAAACAAGCCCTAAGATGAATCCTTTATTTTCTGGGTGGTGCCCTAAAAATCAGCCCAGGGCCCTTCCAGTAACCATTTTCCGTCAGAATTTTGAGAATTTTTGTTCCATGAGAGTCAATATACATTGGGAGTGGATAGAATATTGGCTGGCTTTGAAAAATTGGGTTTCCAGGTCCTAAAACTGCACTTGATGCCTTTAAAGTTGGGTTAGATACCCTTATTGTATCTCTGCATGATAAAGCTTAAAGGTTGAAATACTTTTCCTGCAATAAATTTTACAGTCAAAAGAATACACTGTAAAACATTTGCACTTTGAAAGTACAACTTATTATCAAAGCAATGTGTTCAGAAATTTTACCAAGAGATTCCATAGAGTTTACAAAATCATGTATATTTTATTTATGATATCCTTTCCTGCAAAAAAAAGCATACTGTGTATTCATTTAAGATTGTGGCACTTAAAATTTTAACAGTCAGAGAAAATGAAGTTTTGATTTTGTAGTTAAAACGTATTCATTTAAGATTGTGGCACTTAAAATTTTAACAGAGAAAATTAATTTTGATTTCGTACTTAAAACACTGCATAAGTTTGTGGTGGGACTCTGAAAACTAGAAAACTTAAAAATACAGCAAAAGTTTCATAATTTAGAGTTAAGTTGCAAAAAAAGCACACCGTGCATTTATTTTAACAGTCAGAGAAAATGAATTTTTGATTTCGTAGTTAAAACACGTTTGTGATGGGACTCTGAAAATACAGCAAAAGTTTCATAATTTACATTAAGTTGAGAAGATGACAACTTGAGAACTGGTACTTTTAAAAAGGCTTTGCCGTTGAGTGATGAAGTGATTGGATGTTAAGCCAGAAACGTTACAGATTGGGTCCCATTACATCTGCATCATTAACTGCCAAATGACATGTCATACATAAACATCATTGGGGACAACAGTCCATTTCACCCATTAAAATCTCTTCTTACATGTCTCCGCAATTATTCAACACTTTCCATCATCAGGCGTTGGACTATTCCACTTTTCAAGCTGACAGGGGGGACTGTTTTTCTGACAGAGGCTGTTTGGGGACAGTTCATTTTTAGTTTTGTCCATTTCACCCATTAAAATCTCTTCTTACATGTCGCTGCAATTATTTAACACTTGCGGCTTAACACTTTCCATCATCAGACCGGGACTGTTCCACTTTTGAAGTTGACAGGGGGGACACTTTTTTTCACTTTTTTTGACAGAGGGGACTGTTCCACTTTTGAAGTTGACAGGGGGGGGAACTTTTTTTCACTTTTTTTGAAAAGAGGCTGTTTGGGGACAGTTCATTTTTGTTTTTTATTACAGAGATTTGTCCATCACCAATTAACTTCTCTTCTTACATGTCTCTGCAATTATTCAACACTTTCCATCATCAGACTGTAGACTATTCCACTTTTCAAGTTGACTAGGGGGGACAGTTTTTTTGACAGAGACTACTAGTTTCTATGAGATTTTTTTTAGTCAATAGGGACTGCTCTAATTTTGGACTAACAGGGCAGTTACAAAATTTTCCTTTTCTACGTTTGAAAGTTAGAAAGCCAGGATTGTTGTGGTTTGGTCAGAAGGGAAAAATGAGAGAAGGAAAAGGGAAAGAGTCGGCCCCTAAACATCTTAGTGGATCAGCCCAAAGTCAAGTCATAAAACACAGACACACTTGCATTAGTTTTGACATATCTGCAACAGGCCTAGGGCAACCAACTTATTCATGATACCGCCCTTTTCTACACAACAATACAAACCCTATAGGCATACATGTAAAAGCTTTTTAAAAGCAAAACTACATGTAGATATCTGTGCACAGTGTTTCAAGTTTTTCAACCTACTCCCAACTCAATACTAGGTATTCCAGGGATCTCCCCAGAAATTCTTAGGGGAGAGGTGCCCCCTAATCGGTTGATGAAAAATCAGCAAATTTTCATGAAAATACTGACAGTTACTAAAAGAAAACCCTAAATTTGAACATTTTGGGATAGTTGCTACGATTTTGGGGACAGGGGGAGCACCCTTGCTTTATTGCTTTGGGAGAGCCTTGGTATTCTAATCCCCCGAAACATTATTGGACGATCCCTTGAAAATCCTCCACTGGGATGCACATCACATACTTCTATCTCGATATGATATTCTTTATCATCTTCCATAATGGAAAATCACAGGCATGCAGGCCATCATTATTGCGTTGATTCAGAGTTAAGCGTGGCGCGTGCTCCGAGGTCCTCCAACTCCCCCCAATCAAACCCGCGTCCAATCCTGATTGCGTGACTCCGTGGAAAAATTGTTCGCGCTCCGCGACACAATCGCCGGGTTTTTCATCCCCCATAAACTAACAAGCGACGTCCATATGAAGCCGAGTTCATCTCGGGAAATGATGTTCTTCAAGTTTGATGGGGTGATATTAGGCCACAGCAAGTAATTTTATGGATGACATCAGCGCGCGCATTAATTTTCGCCTGATTTTGGGGAAAAAAACAAGAAATTTTGTTGATTTCTGACAGTGGTCAACATGCCGAAAATGGTCAAAGATGTCTGCTGCCATGCCGGAAGGTGGATGGCAGATAACTATGAAGAGAGGAGACTGTCACAACAAAAGGCTCTGATTTAATGTTTTGTTTCTTAGTAAGTTACTTTGATGCAGTGATATGTGATGCTGCAGCTGGCTGTATACATGCTGGCAGTGTATACATGCCCGTAGCTAGGGGGGGTTCGGGGGTTCGGAAGAACCCCCCCCACACAAGGCTCAAAGGTCCACTTTTTGGTCCACTTTTTATGTAAAGGTCCACTTTTTGGTCCACTTTTTATGTAAAGGTCCACTTTTTGGTCCACTTTTTAAGTAAAGGTCCAAGATTTTTCTTGAAAAGATGGACTGGAATCGTAGAAAAACTGCTCCCTTTGTCATTGAATAAAAATTTATCTCTGATTTTTTTCAGAAATCCTATCAAAAATGCACGAAATGCCGTTTTAGAAGGTTCATTTTTCAAAATTTTACGGGGGAGCATGCCCCCGGACCCCCCTAGGAACCTC